CGGGGCGACTCTACAGCCCCCCGCCAATCCTGCCACTGAACGGCAACCCTCCAAGAAGAGGAGGCGGGGGGGAAGTAGGAAGAAGTCGCAGCCTCCTCAGGCTGTCACCTCTACCCCGACACCAGCCATACCAGTAGCCGCTAAGGCGCAGATTACGAGGGAGACAACCAGCGTGGGTAGAATGCCAGAAAAGGCTCTATCTGAACATAGAGCCCGCTCTATCACTAGAGCGCGCTCTACCCACAAGCAAAGAGAGCAAATCCAGGAGCCCCAACCCCCGAGACAATTGCCAACGCCTTCTTATAGGAGAACACCTACCACCGGCCTCGAAACAGCAGATGCAATCCAACGTCTGGTTGGTATTGCCATCGAGGTCGGCACGCAAGTCCTGGCTGACATAAGAGCCGGGACAGATCCAGTGACAGCGATAATGAAGGCGCTGGCAAACCTCCTAGCCCGGCACTATGGAGGAGCGTAATCTGCGCCTCCTCTATTGGAACCCGGACGGAATACAGCAGAAGCTGCATGAACTCCGCACAGTCGCCCAGCAACAGGATATACATATTATACTGCTGGGCGAAACAATATTAAATCCAAAAACGCGCATTAAGCTGCCAAATTACTACATCTACAGAAGGGACGAGGTCACTTCTCAAGGGGCCGCCTATAGAGGGACGGCGGTTCTAGTGAGGAGGGACATCGTCCATCAAGAGCTGGAATTACCATCCTTCCAGACAATGCGCTCAATCGGTATTAGAATGGAGGCGGCGGGCGAGGAACTAAGGATATATGCAGCATACCGCCCACCAGGGACTCCATTCTGCTCCTCAGACATCCGGACAGTGATGGAAGGCGATGGACCTGTTATCATCGCCGGGGACCTGAACGCCAAACACCCGGCGTGGGGGTCCAGAGTGATCACCCCGCCGGGTCGTGAACTATATGAAGACGCCGAAAAGTACCAATACGACGTTCTAGGTCCCGAGGAACCGACTCACGTTCCTACTGACCCAAGGAGGCATCCGGATGTATTAGACATCGTGCTCACTAGGAACGTCAACTATCCGATAGTGGTAGAAGTGCTGTACGACCTACCTTCACAGCACCTCCCGTTACTGATAACCCTTGGCCTGAAGGCGGTGACTACGCCGCCCAGAGCGTTTAAGACACGTGTCGACTGGAGGCTCTACTGTCAACACCTGCAGCAGAGACCTCCAGCACACCAGCCAATAAGTACAGCGGACGACGTAGAGGCCGCTGCAACTAGAATCACTAATAACATCAAGGAGGCCCTTCACGCGGCCTCTACGATCGTCACGATGACAGCCAGGCGAGACGATCTGCCGCTTAACATATGCGTGCAGATCAGGCGCAAGAGAGCGTTGAGAAAGCTCTGGGCGCGTACTCGCTGCCCTAGATTAAAGACCCAGCTCAACACCATCTCGGAGGAACTGTCGGTTGCAGTCCAGGCCTTTAGAGGCGACGCTTGGGATCGGCGCATCAGGAAGGCCGAGGAGCAAGATGTGTCGCTCTATAGACTGAACCGGCAGTTAACTAGAACCAAACCTCCCGTTTGCCCGCTGATTAACAACGCAGGCAAACGCTGCTATGATGCCAAGGGCAGAGCGGATATCCTAGTCGAGCACTTCGAGGAGCAATTTATGCCGAACCCAGCAAGTGCGGAGTTCATGGAGCTTCATGCCAGGAAGGAAAGTCGCGTGCAGGAGTTCCTGTCGTAGCCCGCGCCGCCTCTTGCAGGAGAGTGGTTCATCTCCCCCCGCTGAACTGCGGAGGACAGTAACCCGCCTGCAACCGAGGAAGGCGCCGGGGGCACGACGGGATTACCAACGCTGCACTCCGACAGCTGCCCAATAGAGTCATAGTAGAGATTGGTCGACTCTACAATGGGATATTGCGGACATCCCACTTCCCGGAGATATGGAAAACAGGCAAAATTATCGTCTTGCCGAAACCCGGGAAGGACAGGCGTAGAGCTGCCAGCTACAGGCCGATCACGCTATTACCACACATAGCTAAACTGTTCGAAAGATTGCTGCTAAGACGTCTCCGTCCGTGCATCCAACTTCGGGCGGAGCAGCACGGATTCAGGAGAGGACACTCTACAGTCACACAATTGACTAGAGTGCTGCACCTGCTTGCGGCAGAGTACAATCGTGGCCGCATATCGTTGGGCGTCTTCCTCGATATCGAGAAGGCGTTCGACCGGGTGTGGCACATAGGACTACTATACAAGCTGAAAGAACAGACCAGTGTCCCTCTTGCTATGTTGCGGTTAATGGCGTCTTTCCTGGAAGACAGGAAGTTCTACGTCTGTGTAGAGGACGCCGAGTCCGCAACTAAAACCATCAGAGCCGGCGTTCCACAGGGCAGCTGTTTGTCACCAGTCCTGTACGCGGCTTATACTAACGACATACCTACACTGGCAGGCAGGCTTCAAGAGTGGGAGGACGACGTCGAGCTGGCGCTATACGCGGACGATAGCGCCTATTTCACCTCGTCCAGAAGAGCCCACATAGCCACTGCCAAGATGCAGCGTCTGCTGGACCTGCTGCCACCATGGCTGGATGAGTGGAGGATGGTCGTCAACGTTGGTAAGACGACCGCTCTGCTCACTCGCCGTCTCAGGAATTTACCACCTCCGCTGACCCTCAACGGCCAGGAGATTGCGTACCAGAAGGCCGTAACCTACCTTGGGTGCAAGATCGACAGGACGCTGCGCATGACCGCGCACGTCGACTTCGTCGTCCGCCGGGCCCGATGTGCGCGGGCGACGCTCTTGCCGGTACTTGCATCCAAGTTGCCTATAAACACCAAGCTCCGGATATACAAGATGTATATCCGGACCATCATCACGTATGCTGCTCCGGCCTGGTACGCACTTCTGAGCAACCCTCTGAGGCGGCGACTGCAGGCCCAGCAGAATCTGACATTAAGGACGATCGTCGGAGCAGGTCGCTACGTCCGGAATGACGTCATAGCGGCCGATCTGAAAGTCGAGACCATCACCGACTTCGTGGCCCGGTTAGCGCGCGGCATGTTTGACCGTGCCGATAACGGGCCACATGAACACCTGAACGGCTTTGCGCCGCTACACACCCGGCCACCGGACGGGCGACCTCTTCCAAGAGAACTCCTCTCTATATGTGATTAGAGAGTTGAGTAACAACCCACAATGCCGCTGAAAGGCCAACTCTGTCTATATTAGATAACCACTCTTTTTTCCGTAATTAACCAATTACGGAAAAACCGGACTTACCATCACGCCTGAATAGGCAACAAGGACTGTCCCATAATAATGGGACATGAGGACACCCGGGTAATGGGGGTCACCCCGCGGCCCGATACCTGTATTGCATCTCGGTGCAATCAGCCGCCAATCAACCCAGGGGTTGAGTCGCGTCCGGACCTCGTTCCACGCCGGTCACATCCGCCGGTCGTCGGCTCCCGCCTGGGAGGGAGTAAGTCACGTCGCGTCACTTAGCAGCAGGTGCACGTATCGTGTGGGAGCGAACAGGGCTTCACGCCAAGATTAGTCTCCGGGAAGCTTGGAGATCGCTCCTGATTCTTCCTGTGATGATATACCCTTGCCGCTGCCTTAACCTATATGCTGAGAAGCGAGCTCCAGAGACCGGTGTGCTGCTGTCAGAAGAGCACACACTTGTGGGTGACATCGGACCTACGTCGAGATCCGTCTCATTGGGACCTATAAGTCGCTGACTCTTTGGCAGATCCCTTCCCAGAGGCGTGAGATACGCCATGAATGCCCTGATAGCCTTAATATACAACTAGGTGGGAGCTCCTTAGCACCGGAGTGCTGCCATCAGAAGCGCACACCTGTCGGTGGAATTGGCTTCACGTTGAGACCCGTCTGCGTCAAGTCTTCGTGGGGCTTTGAGACCACTGACCCTTAGGCAGATCCATCCTAAGGGCGCAGAATACGCCAAACTAGATTGCCAACAATGCCGTTCCTGAACGGCTTCCAATTCCGGCACACTGGAGTGTGCTGTGAAGATTACCCGGGTAATGGGGAATGCCCCGAGGCCCGAAACCTGCTGGACAGAAAGCCCATGCAGATGACAACGAGCAACAAACCAGGGGTTTAAATTGCAGGTGCGTTACAGGCTTGCAAGGAATTAGCTCGTCTCTTTCTCGTGTCACGCTATTAAAAATATTTAATAATTTATTACAGATATGGTTACAGATCGTGGTACATTTCGAAACTAAAGTTTGTAATAACTTTTTTTGTATAGGATAGGGTGACAAACGAGCACACAGTTCACCTGATGGTAAGTGGTTGCTGCGGCCCACAGATATCTACATCTATCTTCGTGAGAACTAAGATGGAATGCCTCGTTTCCAGTGAAAAGGGTCTCTGATTCTCTACACTCACCATACGAAACACATTAACGTTAAGCTACTATTTCACGCTGGTATTCTGTGAGAGTGTGGTCCTTCCCCGGCCGAGCCGACCCATTCGTGTTACTACTATACTATTAATATAACTACAGCATGGCTCTACCACGTAGGAAACATTCAATTAAGACATTTCACAAAGGCTTTTATTCAAAATGAAGTTACTACTTCTATATCAATCCGTAAAAGTTCATGGTTTGCGTTAACTGTAATTGGAATCTTAAACTATATATAAAATAGGCAATTAAACTATAAAAAAAGTAAAACCGACCTCGAAACAAAAAAAAAACATTAAACACAAAGCACCACAACAAAAAAGAGTTATCGTAGTACCGACATCAGAAGCTTTTTAGTGGACATAATTTTATTTAGCTTTAAAGTATTTTAAATATATTGAATGGATAATGGAATAATTTTTATAACATAATAGCTTGTGGGAATCAGCGAAAGGTTCCAAGTAAATTTACAAATTGAGACCGAGAATCCCAGTGAATATGCTATAACCATGTTATGAATAAATCGACCTGCATAAAGGAAAACGTTTAGTGAATTTTCACCGGACGTCAATGCGGACGACAGAAAATCTATATTGCACAACGCCCACACGACAAAACCAGCGACTTGGAAGGGACAAATTAGAAGCTCCGTGGTTCCCGGAACGCTTTCAAGCCTTAGATGGCCCTGGGGTCGCGTAATTGGGCGATCGACGTCCGTGGCAAAGCTCGCGTGAAATATTTGGTAGCGACGGGCGTGGCGATTTGCATACAATGAAGCGGCACAATCGAGGGTGGGACGACTGGAAAGACCTCTTACTAACGTTTCGGAAGTACCGTTCTTATAGCGTAAAATATTTTATTATTGTCTTATACCTACGCCACAATAGAATATATGTAATACAGAATAGATTATTTAAAAATATTTTATACATTTTTAGGTTTATTTCTAGAATAAGTTTCACCTTTTAATAGATGTTTTATAAGAGTATGTAAAACTCTTATAAAAAAATTATTTATACATACATATGTTGTAATTCTTCTACTTTTTACTGTTTTTTTAACACTTTACATCTTTTCCACGTTACCATTTCATTATAAAAGAATTTTTTTTTAAATACGTTGATTTCTCGGAAAGCAACTAACAATTTCTTCGGTGCAGACGGGGATCAAACCCGTATCGCTCGCGTAATATGAAATTTACTATTATTAAATTTACTTTTACTTATCCCGTCAGCTTACTTCTACCACGGCGTTAGTCACCACGTTTTAGTCCTAGCTCCTTACTGAACTTTTTATTCTTCGCTTTGTACTGACTATTTTATCTGTGCAGACCGCTGACGGGATATGTATCAAAGACTCGAGACGTCTGGTACCTACTGTGATTCTCAATTCGCCTGTGTGTGTGCTGATTATGGAAAATTCTTTTCATAACGGGAAAAGAAAGGGAGCTCATTTATAGACTCTAAAACATTACAACTAAGTTACATAACTTGATACATCACTCAATGAAAATTACATTAAATCTTAATAAAGAAAAAATAAAGGAAAACATCGTGAGGAAACCTGCATGTCTGAGGAATAGAAAAAAAAAATTCTAAGACATGTGAAGTTCGCTAACACGCATTGGAGCCGCGCGGCGGACACTTCCTTGCCCTAAAACCCTCTCAGAAATGAGTGGAGGCCTGTGCCCAGCAGTGGGACGTATATAGGCTTTAACTTTACTTTTTTGTAAAAGAAAAAAAATTAATCTCCTTGGTCGTAATGATATTAGCAATATTTTTAATGGTATTTGTATACATCAAAATATATTTTAACTTCAAGGAAGCAAAGTTAACAATATAAAAAACACGTTCTTTAATAGCGTGCGTTAAAAAGTCTTAAAACAGTACCTCAACGTCCGTTGCTGGTACTATTTCAAGAAATTAAATGTTGGGATATCTCATACAATGAGGTAAATCAAACTGCGCGTGCTAACCATCCCGCAGAATCAACACAAAAATTCGCTTTAAATCCATTACAGCCTAGAAATGTCCACTGTGATCATAGGCCTCTTCGTAGATGCCCCCCCCCTCCCCCCGAACGGATTCCCGGCTTGTCGAGGCGGGGGGGCTTAGTGGCTGTGGCTTGGTCACCCGCGGTGAACTAAGAGGAACCCACATGGCTTGCCCGCGGCGAGGCGCCGCTCTCTCTACCCTCCGCAGCCGAATCTTGGTTGGTGGCGGAGCCATAGACCAGATCCACTGCAGGGGTCAGGAAGGCTTCTGAGTGCTCGTTTCTCCTGGTCCCATAGCCATCGCGCATCAGACACGGGGGCGTCCGTTGCGCATGTGAAGTTGGAGCCTGCGGAGAAGGGCGCGTCACGTGTTCTGGTGCGTCTTAACTGAAAAGAAGATGGGGGAGGCCTCCCCCGAAGACTAGTCCTCTCCCAAGGAGGGGCCACCAAGGGGCGACCAGCGATGGTGGGGCCGTGGATGTGTGCGAAAGCGTTCACGTAGCCCTGCCAATATGCGACGTAGGTGGAACACCTTGGGATTTAATTCGGTGCAAGTCCCGTCCTTCCCGTCCTTGCCCCCGTGAGGTGGGTATGCCTAGGCATTTCTTGTTATAGTTGTTACGCTTGGCAGACTGGTTGGCAACATTTTTTTATTACTATGAGTTGAGGAAGATGTTGCTGCCTACTATTTTAGTTGCACTATTTTAGTTCCTCTTTGTCACCTCTTACGACACCCACGAGACGATATGGAGGAATAACAGTAGTGAATGGTCTTACAATGCCACTACACGGTGTGCTGTTAAATCGATTTAAATGTTTATCTGTAACTACCGAACACTGTTAGGCCCAATAACTAAGTAATATTATTTTTTTTTAAATAAGTTATAATTTTGTGGTGCTTTGTGGTTGGTGTAAGAGAATCTAATACACCATTTCGTGCCGTGGCGTCCTGGGAGGTGAATTATTTCCTTTTTGTTACTAATTGTAGGTTTAAACTTTATGAAAGTTTTTACAGCATAACGAATGCGAGACTAGTGGGACACAAGACTGTCATTAAATATTTCTATTGATTTAGCGGCACCGTCTCGCTTCTACGAGACAGCTTTACTTATTTTTGCTACTTTGATAATATTTAGTATATATTATCACTTGTATAATTGTGTGTGGCTACTGTAATTTAGTGAATAATTGCTAGTGACTTTTTTGCAAATGAATTTAAAACAAAAAATATTCTTTAGTGTCTCTTGAATTTGACGTACATTTTAGATTAAAAATGCATATTTTAAGACTATTCTTTCAGGGTGGTTCGTGATTAAACGCCAAATGTAATGGGTCGGTGCATTTAGGATGCGCGGTGGAGGCGCGGTATCCCGACACTTACGTCCAATCATACTGTCAAGCCGTCCGTCCATCCCGACCGCCCCGTGGGAAGCATCTTCCAATCGCCCAATACTAGAAAAAACTATTTAATTTATAAAGTCTGTTTTCCCTGTTAAAGAACTTACAAATATAAATCTTGCCATTGAATATGGTTCTAGATTATTATCTAGGATATATTATCTAGGATCCTATGATAGAAACTGATAAAATTAAATATTTTTATAATCTAAAAAACGGAAGTGACAATGTTCGATTGTTAAGCAAAGAAGGCTACAGATACTTGTCACCTCTGAGGACTAAGATGGACTGCCTCATAGCCTGTATACCGGCTCTCTATACACTTAAAGGGACGTGGTAGCTCTCAGGATCAGCTCCCGCTGTAAATTTCACAGTACGCGAGCAACCCGGGTTCGATCCCCGCCGGCAGCAATGAAATTGTTGATTGCAGTTTTAAGTGCTGATTTACCACGTGCTCGACGGTGAAGGAAAACATCGTGAGGAAACCTGCATGTCTGAGAAATAAAAAAAAAATTTGGAAGACATTTGAAGTTCTCCAACACGCATTGGGGCAGCGCGGTGGACATTTCCTTTCTTTAAAAGCCTCTCAAAAATGAGAGGAAGCTAGTGCCCAACAGTGGGACGTTACCCAAAAAGATAGACTTTTAGGTACTATAGGGGTCCTAAGACCTAGTAAACTGTATTATTTCACAATCATCATTACAGCCCTTCGCAATTGAACATAGGACTCCTATAAAAAGTAGCCAAAAATATGATCAATCCCATATCTCTTTGCATGCCTCATAAGTACAGTTTAAAGTGAGTCTAACAGTTGTAAAGCGACCGCGTGTGCCAGCGCACTGCATTAATTCTGCTGTACATTACATGCGGTTGATGTGAGCGTGTTTTATAGCACTTAAACTAAACCCTTAATTGCGCAGTGTTGTATTAAAACCACATTAGTTTTTGACATTCAGGAACAGCATACCTTACATGTATTTTTTTTTAAATTCAATGTGAAGTAATTTTATAATTAGTATAAATTTAAAAAATTATACTGGCAACCTCGATATTTGAAAAAAAAGTTAACTTTTTTTTCTGGATCTGTCACTTCGCGCGGCAAAAAAGTTGAAGCCCGCCAAGTAGATTTGTGTCATCGTAAAACAATTTTATTTGTGCAAGTAAGTGTTGAAATTTTTATTTATTCTATTGATTATAACCTCGATTTTGTTATTATTTAGTGATTTTTTTTAGTTTTATTATTTTAAAAGTAATTATTGAGTATTTTATTTATGTTGTTTACAAACAACATTGCGCACTTTTTATTAAATGTAATGTATGGTTGTTAATAGATTTTTTATGTTTTTATTTTAGTATGCCCCGCTTGAATGACGAGGATATACGGAACTATCTAGAAAATTTAGACGATTCTGAAGATGGTCTCGACGGCTCTGAATCGGAAAGTGACGAGGAAGACACCTATTACCAAGCGGCTCGGGAAGTTTTTCGCGACCTGGAGGGTTCAGATTGCGAAGAGCGTCACATAGGTGAGAACATTCAAAGTCCATCTTCTAACCAGCTCGATGATGATATGGATCATCGCTTTATTATGGAAACAGATCAACATTTACAAGAACCGACTTCATCTTCACATCGCCCTACAAGACCTATAGTTTGGCGACAACGAAATCTCATTACTAGAAAAGAGGATCTAAAATTTCAGGGCAATACTCAATTGCCAGAAGAACTTACACAAAGGGAGACTCCTTTAGATTTTTTTACCTATTTCTTCACGCCAGATTTGATAAAACATACAGTTGAGCAAAGTAACTTGTATGCCACGCAGAAGCAAGTTTCTAACCCAGTCAACATAGACGAGAATGAATTGAATAAGTTTCTTGGAATTTTGATTGTTTCTTCTGTAATTCGTTTTCCTAATATTAGACTTTACTGGCATGACAAGTATGGATATGAGCTTATAAAAACGACGATGTCTCAGAAGCGATTTGAGAAAATAAGGTCCATTATACATTTCAACGATAAAGAGAAATGTTTGCCAAAAGGACATCCTGACCATGACCGAATCTATCTTATCAGACCGCCTGTTGATGCACTAAATAATAGATTTGCTACTGTACCAATCGAGCAACGTTTGTCGATTGATGAACAGATGTGCGCCACGAAAATGAGCCACCATATAAAGCAATATTTGCCCAATAAGCCGCACAAATGGGGCTTCAAACTTTACCTGCTTTGCAGCCTTTATGGCTACGCTCATAAATTTGAAATTTACACAGGGAGTGGCAGTCAAACTACAGTGGCAGCTAATGAGCCTAATTTAGGAGAGTCAGGGAATACTGTGGTACGTCTAGCTCGCATGATACCTCGCAAAGCAAACCATATAGTCTACTTTGATAATTTTTATACCTCTCTACCGCTTGTGACTTTCTTAGCTAAGGAAGGTATTTATTCATTGGGGACAGTGCGTGTCAACCGTCTACGCAATTGTAAGCTACCAGACAAAAAGGCTATCATGAAAAAAAGCATCCCAAGAGGATATTACGAAGAAAATGTGGCGAATGTGGATAGTGTTGATGTCAGCGCTGTAGTATGGAAAGACAATAAACCTGTGAATATCCTTTCCACCTACGTTGGTGCTGAACCAGCTACAACTGTGACATGTTATGATAAAGTTAAAAAAGAACGAGTTCCGATCTCTTGCCCAAAAGTGATCAAAGAATACAACGCACACATGGGAGGGGTTGATCTCCTAGATTCTTACATTGGACGTTATAATATAAAAATGAGAAGTCGTAAGTGGACTATGCGCCTCTTTTATCATTTGTTAGACGTGACAGTAATAAACTCTTGGCTTATTTATAAAAAAGTTCATACAAAGGACACAAAAGTGTTAAATTTGTCCAGATACAGGATGGAATTGGGTGAAACTTTATGTCGCATGGGGTTGCAGACTAACGGTACCAAACGGGAGACGGCCAAGCAATTCATTGCAAAATGAAATTGAAGAAAAAAGGCGTAAAGGAGCTACGCAACCAATACCTGCAAAGGATGTGAGATTAGACCAAGTTTCCCATTGGTCCGTATGGGTAGACAAGCAGCAACGGTGCAAATTTCCAAAATGTGGTGGATACACCTTCAAATTTTGTCAAAAATGTGGTGTTTCTTTGTGTGACACAAAAAAAATAATTGTTTCTATAAATAAGATAATAATTAATTTTTATATTCAAATAAATTAGTTAAAATAAAACATATATTTCACTATACACTATACATACTTCAAAACACTTGGATAATGCGCAATGTTGTTTTAAAACAACGATATGTTTTTTGTAAAAATATCATAATATATAATAATGTGATTTTTTCAAATATTTTTCTGGTAATTTTTAAGCTATTTCAAATCCGAAAATATTTTATTCTTTTTGAAATAAAAATTCGCGCAACGAAGGGTTAAGTACCGTTTTCGAAAAATATAATATCTATAATGGTGAATTACTGTTATAGTTATTTGAATTACTTAGTAAAGTGGTTGAATTCAAATGACGGCCATGCTTATGTTTCCCCCAGTTTTATTTTTGATAAAATTGATTTAACAATAGAAAACTGAAAACATCTAAAAATAAAGTATTATGAAAATATTTGGCAGTGCAACACATATAAAAGTATTTATTTTGTAGTGATAACATTGATCTTGTTCAATTAATGTTTTTAACTTATAAGTATGTACATAATGTTAATAAATGATAATGGGCACTTATATTTATTTATTTATTTTATTTATTTATTTAATATATTATTACATTCATTATTTACACATTACTTTACGGTACAATCATAAGTTTATAGAAACTTTACCGTGTACCGGTATAGTAATGGGTATGTTCCGAAATACAACGCAGTGTACTGTCCAATGCAAATGACGTCATCATTTGACACTTTATTGTACTAGCGTGCAAATTTTCGCCTAGGACGTCCCTTTCCGACTCTGCCATTCACTTCTGCAACATAAATTTTCTTTGTCACTCTTTCCTCATTCATTCTTTCCACATGACCAAACCACCGAAGCATTCCTTTCTTAATCCTGGTCACAACATCATCTTGCATACCACATTTATATTTATCACGCAATTTCTCACCCTGTCATTCAGATTCAACCCTAGCATATTCCTTAAAGACCGCATTTCTACAGCATTTATTTATTTCGTGCTTCTTCTGCCACACCCAGCTTTCATTACCATACATTAAAGTAGGGACCAATACAGCATTATGAATTACCATACGTGCCTTTTTGACACATTCTGGTTCTTCATAATAGAGTGTAGTGCCCCATTCACTCTATTCCCTGCATTTACTCGTCGTTCTATATCCTTATCATATCTACCATCCCTGCTAAATACACATCCCAAATACACAAACTCATCCACTTGCTCAATTAACTCTCCTTCTATTCTTATTTCACATACCGTTTTGCTTTCTTCTCTTTCAAAAACCATCACTTTCGTCTTACTTGCGTTCACTTTCATTCCCCTTTCTTTTAATGACCTGTTCATTAATGTAACCATCATTTGCAACTCGGCCGCCGACGACGCAAGTATGACTTGATCATCGGCGTACAAAAGGCATTTGATGGTTAACTCACCCATTCTTAACCCGCATTCTTCAACTTTCAAATTTTCCAAACAGCTGTCCATAAATAGGTTGAACAGCCATGGCGAAGCTACACAGCCCTGTATGACACCTTTTTGGATGCCAAACCAGTCCGAGTAGACCCCATTGATCCTGACACAAGTACTAGAGTCCCTATAAAGAGACCTTAATGCATGTATCAAACCAGCGCTCAACCCATATGATAAATTTAATCATTATATAATAATATAATAAATTATTATGTTGGCTAAGTTAAGTTTTAGTTTATAAATAAAAAAGAATGTATGATATTTCATGAATCCACAACAAAATTAACTTACCTAGTCGTTAAATATTAATTTACTCCATTGAATTTTAAATTTAAATCTTTTCTTTTTTCTCCGTCATAAAATCCATAATTGTTTTATTACTTAATTTTTCAAAGATAAAGAAGTTTGTTACTTAAATGTTTTACGTAAACCGATTAAACGGCGAATAAAGAGTTATAAAACTACAATTATAAACATTTATATACAGTTACAAGTTGTAAAGGAAACGTAATAAAAATCACACAAATATAACGTCGTCTATTTATTGTTTACATCAATGCCACCGTAGTCAATAATTTAATTCGTTGTTCGACAACTGCTCCAAAAGTCGTTGCCCCCGACAGTTGCAAAGTGAGTGTTTTAATTTGATTTTTTTGTGCAAAAGGATTTACAGCTGCTTCAGTTTATTACGAGTTGTGTCAGGTTTTATGTCTATCTGTGAAGGAAAGATACAGAAAAGTGATGACTTTAAAAGTTACCGCACAAACAAACGTGATGAAGAACAGCAGGTTTAAAATCATGCAACAAATCGATTGAAAACTGCGATATGATAAAAGATATACGATTTTAGTGAACAACAGTTTGGTGGACAACAGGATGTTTGTCCTTGTGAAATTTATGTGTGTTAACTGTTCCCACGATACAGGAGAAAGTCCTAGTGTGGAGGTAGCGTTTTATATAAGAAGAATATGAAGAGAAGAAGAATTTTTGAATGGTTTGGTCGCCAAAAGACAAAGAAGGTTGTCTTTTTGTGATTACTGGACACACTTAGTCACAGCAATTAATATTATTAAAAAGGAAATTTAAAAGATCATATTTTGTGCTGTGCAATCGATTTAATCTGTTATGGCGGCGAACGAAAACAGTTGTCGTAAGTGGCGACTATGTAAATTCTAGAAAAATCATATGGCATTCGATAGATGGCAGTATATCACTGACACTCGTTTGCACCAGTTGCGAAATTCCCAATCCTGAAACTTCGACCAGGACCTAAAATGAAAGGTATCTGATCTTTCATTTTTGGTCCTGATCGCTACGACCGCCAATCCTAAGTATCTTTTTCGTTCTCACTACAAAAGGATTTTTTTGTTTTCCGCTGGAGAGTTCCCCACCAGCGGGAGTTCAGTATCATTATGTAGTATCAGTTTCCACAGAATTTTGCACTTTTGTTAACAATTTGGTCTTATATTTCATACACGACTTGTGTTCCCTTTTCGGGTATAAAATAATTTGTTTGTAACGTTACACTATGTACAATATTTAATCCTAATAAGATAGTCCTTTGATTACAAAATATTACTAGTATTTCCTAGTCCCGCGTATGCAGGTTTCCCTATTTAAAAATATAAGAAAGATTATAAATGAATAAAGAGACTACGAGAGTAACCACAAAAGGGATTCATTAACTATGATATGATAATCATAAAAGTCTAGTACTGTGACCACAGAGATTGATGAGTTTTAAATGTATTAAAAGTGGTGTATCTAAGAAACAATCGTATTTCTCCATGTCTTTTCTTTAACTGCTAAGTTAGTCATTAAACAGCACTCAAAATTTAATCACAAAAATATTAATAATTGCTGTTATATTTTTATAGTCGTGTATCATAATAAAAGCCAATATCTATACAGAGCCTATACCGTATACATATCTATACCGCGACACTGCACAGTCTTCACGAAATTTCACATTCGTTGTAGAATTCCATATATTAAATTTTAATACGCTTATTTTCACGGGTCTTCTTCATTGGAACAGATTGTTTTATTTTTTTATTATCCTCGATAAATAATTTTTTTTATTGAAAAACCTATATTACCGTCGGGAAATTATACTAGGAACAATGACATATCTCGAAACATTTCAAAAGCCGCTGGTTTATTATTATACTCAATTACAAGTACAAATAACTACTCGACGGATTATTTGCCTTTATGTTGCGATGAAAGAACCGAGATATATGGCAAAAAGACGTTACGTACGCGGAATGATACATTATTTTTATTGTCCCGCTTTCAGCGCATAACGCAATGCAACATCGATCAAGTGGTTTGAGATTAAGATTACTTTATTTAATTCACCGGCACGTGTTACGACGGTATAAAAAAAAATCTTTGACTTTATCTTTTATATCATTGTTGTTTTCATACGTTTTAAAAATAAAAACCGGCCAAGAGGGTGTCGGGCCACGCTCAGTGTAGGGTTCCGTAGTTTTCCGTCCGTCACAATAAGTGTTCCCACTTATGAGTTTAAAGGTGGGTATCCATTATGTTCGCGCTCCAGCAGCGCTCCGCGCTCCTGCAACTGCTCCCGGTAATGGGTGGGTGTTTCCATCCAAGTTCAAAATGATTTTCCTAGAAAGTCCTTATAAAGTTCTACTTTTCAGAAATTTTTCATATTTTATAAACTTATGGTTCAAAAGTTAGAGGGGGGGACACATTGTTTTTTACTTTTGGAGCGATTATTTCCAAAATTATTGACATTATCAAAAAATGATTTTAGTAAACCCCTATTCATTTTTAAATACCTTTCCAACAATATATCACACGTTAGGATTGAAATTAAAAAAAATGACTTCCCACTTTACATATAGGGGGGCTACCCTAATAAAACATTTCTTTCCAATTTTTATTTTACCACTTTGTCGGCGTGATTGATACACATATTGGTACCAAATTTCAGCTTTCTAGTGCTAACGGTCACAGAGATTAAGCGAGGACGGACAGACGGACAGACAGACATGGCGAAACTATAAGGGTTCCTATTTGACTACGGAACCCTAAAAAGGGGAAAATAGTTTTGGAATTTTAACAATGATATTACTGAAGAAATGTAATGTTATATAAATGTAACCAAACCAAACTAGTACAGTAGAGTTTAATCAATATCTGTCCTGAGAAGTGAAAGTAACCGTTACCGTTACAGCATTCAAAAAAATCCATTGCTGAATATAGGCCTCCCACATACATGGGCAATGTATTTGGGAGGCCTATATTCCTAGGCGGGATATTTGACGTATTTGCCACGTTTGGAAAATTGATT